CCCCGCCCGGCCCGGCCCGGCCCGGCCCCGCCCGGCCCGCGGCCCCGCGCCAGGTGCATTCCCGGGCTCGCTCCGCCGCTACCGGGGCCCCGCGATGGAGCCGCACCGGGAGCGGCCCCGGGCGCTGCTGCTGCTGCTGCCGCTGCTGCTCCCCGCGCCCGGCTCCGGGCAGGCAGGTGAGAACCGGACCGGCACCGGTACCGGCACCGCTCGGGGGAACCGGGGCTGCGCCGCGGGATCGGCAAACGGGGAAACACCGGAGCGCTCGGGGTTCCGGGACGGGCGGCGGGAGTGGGAGCGCTCGGGGGTCCCGGGGGTCCCGATTCCGCCGGTACCGGACCCCGATCCAATCCCGCCCAAATCCCGCGGCCGCTTCCCCCGCGGGGGCGTCCCGGGGGCACCGCTCGGCTCCGGGGACACCGGGACCGGCACTGAAACCCCCCCGGGACTGCGGCTCCGGCGGGGCTGGGGCTCGGTGCCCTCGCCCGGAATCGGTCCCGGGGCTCGGTCCCGGTTCTCGGTGCCCCCTCCCGGGACTCGGTGCCCCTTCCCGGTGGGTCGGTCCCGGTTCTCGGTGCCTTTCCGGGGCTCGGTCCCGGGGCTCGGTCCCGGGGCTCGGTCCCGCTCTCGGTGCCGCCTCCCGCGCTCGGCACCTGCGGCCCCGCAGCTGCCCGGGCTAATTTTAGGCGGCGGGGCCGGGGCCGGGCGATTCCTTTGGGATCCGGGCGCGACCCCCGGGGGGGACGGGGGGGATCCTTCAGGGGGGACCCCCGGAGGGGCCCCGGCGGGGCCCGCGCGGCGCCGCCGCACCCCGGGCACCCCGGAAGGGCCGCGGCCGCCCGGGAGTTGTTTTCCAATCCCCAAAGGAAAAACACCGAGGGCTGGACGCGCAGGTGGGGCCGGCGTCACCCCGAAACTCCGGGGGTGCCCGGTGGGTGCCCGGGGGTGCCCGGGGGTCGGGGGGCACACCGGGGGACCCCTCGATGTGTCCCCCTGCCCCATGTGCCACCGGCGACGCCTCGAGTGCCACCCCCGGGCTCCGGGTCCCACGGCGAGAGAGGGAACGGTGCCGGGCTCGGGGACACCTCGGGGGGCTCGGGGACACCCCGGGGACACCCCGGGGACACCGAGGGGAGCGGCCCCAGCTCTGCACCCCCCAAAGCCCCGTCTCTGAGAGCCCCCTTTGTTCGGGGCCGGGGCCCGGCTCACAGAGCCCCCTTTGTGCCGCCGCCGGCGCCGAGGGCAGGAGGTCGCTCCGAGCCCCTCCCGGTGCCCCCCGGTGTCCCCGCGGTGTCCCCCCGGTGTCCCCCCGGTGTCCCGGTGCTATTCCTGGCGGCGGGGGCCGCGGTGGCACGCGGCTGATAGCGGGGACGTGCCGGAGCTGCCAGCGGGGCCCCGCGCTGATAAGAGCCGGTCCCGCCGCCGCCGCGGCGCCCGGGGCTTTTTTGGGGTGGGGAGGGGTCCCGGCATCGCCCCCCAGCCCCCCCCGCGGGCAGGTACAGCCGGGATCCGCCCCCCAATCCCCCCGTGGGACCCTCGGAGCCGCCGGGGATGATTCATCGGCGCTGCCCCGACACGCTCGAGCCTCCGGGGATCCGGAGGGAGGGGCTGGATGCTGCCCCCCAACACCTTTGGGGACCCCCCCCGGGGTCTCACGGGGGTCGCAGCACCCCCCGTTCCGGACCCCCCCGTGGCCGGGGCGGGGGGCTGGGGCCGCTGCCGTCGCAGCTGGGACCTTTTTATAGCCCGGTCCGTGCTCAGCTGGCCCGGCCCGGGCCGGGGGGGCCCCGAGCTCCGCCGCCGCCCCCGGAGGGGTCCCGGCCCGGACAAAGCCGCCTTTGAGCCCCCCCCGCGCCGGGGCCTGAGTCACGTCTGCCGGGGACGGGGACGGGAGGGGCCCCGCACCCCTCGGTGCCCCCGGGGGTCCCGGTTTGGGGGGCTCGGCTCCCCCCACCCAGCCCCGGCCGCCACAATCGCGGCTTTGTGCGGTGCCAGGGGAGGGGGCCCCGCGCACAAAGCGCGCCCTGTGCGCCCCCGGCAGCGGGGGGGACCCCGCGCCCCCGCCCGGACCCCCCGCCCCCGCCGCCCGGGGGTGTCCGCGGGGCTCCGGGGCGGCGGCGGCGGCGGGGCCGAAGTCCGGGAGGGAGCGGCGGGGAGGGGGGGCCGGGCCCGAGGCGCCCCCGCCTTGCGCAAGGCTCGCCCGGCCGGTTCGGGCACCGCGCTCCGGGAGCGGCCCCGGAGCAACGGGAGGAGCCGCGGGAGGAGCCGGGGGAGCGCCGGGGGGACCGAGGGGACAGCGGGGACAGGAGGGGACAGGGGGGGACAGAGAGGGGACACCGGGGACAGAGAGGGGACAGGGGGGGACAGAGAGGGGACAGGAGGGGACAGGGGGGGACAGGGGGGGACAGAGAGGGGACAGGGGGGGCAGGGGGGGCAAGAGGGGG